AACTATAAAAATGTGAAAATGGACAAATTGATAAATAAGTAAGGTAGTTGATCCTTTTAATCAGAAACTCATCGTGAACTTCAGATCAGCTTTGATGTGTTAGTGTTTGGCTAGATCTCAAAGTGTATTCAGAAAGCTCGGTTAGCTTTTAATAATTCGTGCAGGTTTAGACCACTGAGATAGGAATAATAAAGTTTAGAATAGGGTACTAATTAAGGATGGTTAAGTGATTGGTGAATATTTATCACCAGGGTGGTTGGGACATGTTTCACGTAAGCCTAACTGCTTCCTACCTTGACAGATATAGTCTGGTGTGGGAATAGTCTGGGAGAAGGAGATGGATGACCAAACGAAGACGTGGGATCACTGCACGAAGTCGTTGACAATGGGACTGATCCTTGTAGGTAGGTCCAGACCGCTTGATTGGGGTCCATAGGATTATGATAATCAACTGTCAGAGACTTCGAGAAACATGTCTTATAATCAGTCATAATGGTGGAAACGCATTTACCCTGTGTCCCTTTAAAACTTAAGATTCTTAACTGTCGTATAGGTGATTTTTTAATTACTCCATGAAGCTATATTCTTTTCTGGAAGCACATCGTCTACGAGTAATCTTTCCCATTGCCACTAATACTGCTACTACACACACTACTGTGGCATGGCAGTTTTGGAATGATCCGCCCGTGTAGTAGGTTCTTAGTCACATTTGACTAACTTTTATAATGCACACGATCATACCGGTCGCGCGACGAATAATTGAATTGGTTTTCTCGTACTTAGTTTTATAACTAATTCTCGATCATTATCCGCAAAATTTTGTTTATTTCCTTATCTTATTACACAATTCCTTTAAATAACAATTATTTGAGATACATCAAGTTGATTTTAAGCTATTGCTATTTTGATTTGACATATGATTTATGGATTGCTTCAGAAATGGATGAATGAAATAAATTTATAAAATATATCTTTAACTCGACTGTTGATAAAATATTAACCTGGAAAAATTAGGATATTTTACATTTTCAACAAAAAATTTGTATAAGTTATTTTTGTTAGTTTATGTGCGCAATATGACTTCTTTTAGCAAATTTGTGTACATGATTAAGCGACCATTAACCTCTTCTTAGTTCTTATTAGCCCTATTTGTCTATGAATCTCACTTATACACACCAATATATCAACGAGGTATTTTAATTCATTTTTAGCAAATTGAGTTTGCAAGTCAAGTTACAATGTAAAACAATACGGATGATCTTTTTATTACATATATTGATTAAGGTGATCAACAAGTTACAAATATCCACACACATCTTAATAGAACTGTTGTTCTTAGTTAGTACTAATGTGTATACATTTTGTGTTGAATAATTTGTCATAAAATCATATATTTTTTCGCTTAATACAAAACAGTCCATTTATATTTGATTCTATGTGTTTACAAATTAGACGAAACTAAATATTGGCTGTGTTCTGATATACAGTATAGATAATAAAAAATACTCCTGAATGGTACACAATTTTTCGCATAAATTAAGAAATTATTGTAATAATACCATGATTGAATGTCGCTGATTTGTAATAAAAAATATAACTTGGTCATATATTTTAACATTCTTAATTGAAGTGAAAGTTGTGAATAATCGTAATTCATGGATCAATCAATTCTTTCTATACCATATTTCTATTACCCTGCAATAACTTATTTTGTCTAGGAGTACATATTATCTGGTTTCTTTGATGTTAGACTACGATTGAGATTTAACTAAATAGTTTTCTTAAATAACAAAAGTAGACTAAGGTGTCATTGGAGAAAAGTTAAAGACAGTTATTTGCCCCCGGGTGTGGCCCCCTAAGGAAACCACCTGCTTCGGTTTGGGCACCCGGGCAGTATCACAGCCCTCACACAAATCGGATGATTAATGTGGCGCATATCTATTTGGTGCATCCTTGTACTCATATGTGTTTAAATAAATAAACGACACGCTTGAGAGAATAATGCAGACTCATTGAGTTTCTTAACTTTCACAGGTTTCTACATAATTCTGCCAAGCCCACTTGCTCGAATAGACGGTTTTTATCAATAATTTGTCAGAGAAAACCTTAGTAATATTCTATGTTTAGGTGGTGATACTTTGACCACATAAAAAAGACGTTGAAACAAATAAACTGTAAAACTAGAGCACCATTCTTTTTGTATACTCTTTAACTAATACGAGAATATTGGCTTGTTTCAAAACTGAAACTGCTGATTTTATATCTAAAGCCAAGTCATACTTTATCGGGTCATTTAAATCATAATTAGTTTTTTTATTTTCATGAAAATATTTTAGAAACTGATTGTATTTCAAGAATTTATATTTAACATAACACCGACTGTGTACTAAAGTATCTGGAATCAATCCTTTATTCTTCAGACTGAAAAACTACTATTATTAGTACTAAGCTTTCTCATTGGTTGTTAGTCAGATAGGTTGGCTAATGCCCGCAATTAAAAGTTGGTAGATTTTTACAAACTATGAGACAACTGAGATTTATTAAATAATACTAGAATTCTAGTTAAGTGTTCTAACGTTAACCATTGGTGATGATAAATTGTATGATCCACTAGTGAAGTTTTTCTCCTGCTCACATTGGTGATCAATAGTATTCATATACTTATTATGATCATGTTAATAAACATTAGAAGCATCGAAGAGCTAAATATATTCGGCAATATAGAACTCAAGTGATACCGATGTGAAAAAAGCCTAAGGAATCCAAAAGACAAACAAGAATATTTTAAAGGCTACAAAAATGAACAAATCAGTGCACTGAACTAAACAGGAAATCTGCATTCTCCCCGTTGGTAAATTATCTTTTTCCGGTACGTATTTAAAATACTGTTTTATGGGTGACTGCAAATATTATGACATACACAAGTTTTCACTTTTTCCAACTTAACCATTCTACAAGATTGAAAGTTCAAAATAATCATACATATACTAGGTTATTTTTACTTTGAATTGTAATCTGTCTAAAAGTGAACATCATACAGATTATGAAACTATTTTACATAGTAATTAGGACAGTGCATCAGTGTTACTAGTATCTGAATTTGTTGAAAATATTCAAACATCATAATTGTAAAGTGCTTACATAAACTTATGTCTAGAACGTAGAAAGATAAAAGTGTTATGTTACACAAAATACTAGATAACCAATGTTACAGCGCATTGATTAAAGTACAAAACGAAAAAGTGATTAAATGAATAATGCGTCAACTGTAAAACTATTAGAGTATATCTCTCGTACAAAGAATAGCAATATGTTCTCAAGTATGGCGTTGTGGAGAATGTTGAGTTTCATTGAGATCTTGAACCGAACTAAATTAGACCACCAGGAGTAGTATACTACATTTTGATAACAGAACGGCTTAGTTTCCATTCCATACGATGAAGCTTTCATGAAGACATTATGTTATCTATAAATACTTTTCTTCTCTACCTATTCATGATAGATAAGAACATTGCTAAGAAATAAATGGACTGAACACTATTTTACTCACAAGTCTAAATACTAAAACACTTATTTATTGCATTTGATACTACATTATTTAGAGATGATTTGCAAGAAGTGATTTACCTAAGTTTTATAATTATCGACGCTCAGCAACATAGTGTGACTAACACTTTGCAGGAACTCTAGAGATCTCCCAAATTAAACAAGCATTAGAGACACAAGTAATAATAAGGTCGTCATTGTCTTCCATCAAGACTGGAATGGCTCAAGAACTTGATCTTCAAAGGAGATTTAGGGATTACTAGAATAGCATGACGATGGTATCTAAGTATCGAAGATAACGTAATTATACACGCACAAACTAATCGAACTAGCTTCGGCTCACATTTTTATGCAAGGGTCAGTGATGGCATATGGTGGCTTAAAACTATGGCCGCATGACTTAGCCATCAAGCCAATAAACAGGCAACGCAGATCAATGACATCATGGCGATACTTTACATTTCAACAGCAGTTATACATAAGGGGGAGTTGTTGAGTGCTTCACCAGTAATAAAGGACACTTTTTGTTTAGTCGGTTTTCCTATTTGTGCTAATTAGGAATCCCGCCATATATTTTTCTTCCCATGATTCCGAATCAAAATACGATACCTCCGTGTGTGGTCACTGAATCCTTTAACTTAAATACTGGTTCCTTCTTGAGTACTAGGGTAAACATTTCATAACTACTAGCTACTAAATCAAACTCGACTACTCTTAATTATCATATCGAGCCGAGAATATTAGAGCAGTTTAATATTGAATTAATTAGGAAACCAAGATAACTCGTCAAACTACTCAGAAGTAGTTTGAATTCCCAAGCAGTTTTTTTCGGCCCGAATATCACGTGAGCAGTTCTAGTTATGTATGAAAATGAATAACTAAGAATCAAATTAATAATGACTAAAAATTCCAGTGGTTAGTAGGATTAACACACTTGAATAGCACCATGTGAATATAACGTTTCATGTGAATTTAGTCATGCATTAACGTATAATCATACATCATCCTGTTAAATATTTTAAAATGTTTCAACAAAAATGTCACAATCACAAGAGTTGTGAACAAAGAATCTTCTATCAACAAACTATTCCTATTACCAAAGTTGAAAAGAAGGATTTAATTTATGTAAACTGTACTCAACACAGGCTAAAATGTTTTTGTAAATATGAATTCAATAAACTACAATATTCAGTTTTACAAAATGGTAACGTGTTGCAGGCTGGTCTTGCGAGTTCCTAATATATACTTGTGGAGATAAAGGAGATTTAGTACCTGTCACATGAACTAGTGGAACTAAAAGAATTTAATTACTGCTGAAGCCTCATTAAACAGATGACTCATAACCATGTGAAAACTGTGTAATATCTTCAGGACGGAACTCATCAACAATCTATGAGGAAAGCAACTATGGATTGATTAAAAAAACGTGATAATCCTGGGATTTGAATGAGGTTTATTGATTGCCAAATACAGTGTGAGCTAACTTATACAAACACTAAATTTAGCGACCGTTTCCATATTACCTGTGAACATTCAGTACAATTCACTATGTAATAACTTGAACGATACGTAAAAACGTAGACAAAAAGGTACAAACTTGGAACAGGCTTTAATCCCTTACCATCGGACCAGTAATTAAATTGTTTAAGACAAATTGTCAAGAGAGGAAGTTACTTCAGGTATTTAGCAGTACAAGGTTAGGAATCGTAAAAATGTACAGTTATAACAATTTTTGTCTTACACTCTAAGAGATAAGCATATAAATAACACTCTACGGAAAGCGAACACGATATAAATGACGCAGAAATTACTAAACAAGGTGTTTGGTAATGTACAAACTTTATGAGAATGTAAATACAAATACTTGGTAGCATCCCAAAATATTTCAGCAGATAATAACCATACACGAAAAAATATGCCTCCTAGAATCAATCAAAATTGCAAAAAGTAATCGTATTTGAATTGGTCAATCTCATATATATTTTCTAGGCAAGTCACCTATCTCAACGATTTTACAGAACTCAGTGTTGTGCTTATTTTTGAACGGGATGAGGAGAAATGTCAAGTGTGGATAAAGAGCTAATGCACTACACGTAGATTAGTGATGTTTTATATTTTAGAATAAGGAATTTAAAACTTACAACCCATTTAGAACTAATTCATTTGGTTAAGCCTTGATTTCTAGGTGTCATTCCCAAAAACAATTTTAAAAGTGCTTGTTCACATTGTACGGACAGATTCTGTGCTTGTGAATAGGTATTGATATGAGAAGTAGTGATAAATGGTGGATACTTACGACTGGTTGAATTTAATAAGTATAAGCAACTCATGCACATGTATTAAGCACAAGGTGAATTTTATCATGTATACAATACAAGGAACGATGAATACAAAGGATTCCAACTACCAATGAAATAGAAATGTTTATTCCATTGGGAAAAATGCCCTTCGTAGACACCCAGCAAAACTTGAATTTTAGACTAAAAGACAAGCAATTTAAAAATTAGAAAACGACTTTTATAAATTCAAATAAAAACAGGAAATACAAATTAGAAAAGTAAGACGGAAGTGAAAAACCTCAAAGTTTAATCATAAGACTTTGGGACAAAGCATGAGATTAGAAATGCAACACTAGGATGATTCTAGCTTACGTACAATTAACATCATTATATCTAACAATAACAAAATATCAAGCAGTTGGCAAATTTAAACCAGATCAGCTACCGACATCAGAATCAAGAATTAGAGCACAAGAATTAATGCAATAACGAAGACCTGTAGGTTTAGGGCCATCGTCAAACACGTGTCCTAAATGAGCATTGCATCCCTTGCAAGAAACTTCTACACGGACTTCACCTAAAAAATAAATCAAAAACCAAAATGTTTCACATAATCCATTAAAAATGATGGATTGTTATTGAATATTGGGAATACTGAACAAATCGAAAAACTTCAAGCGTAAAATTGCACACTGTTTTTCTATATATATCAAAAGGGTTATTAATTACTCAAGTTAACAGCTTGAAACTTGCATCATTTTTATACACAATGAGGTATAATTATTAGATCGAATGTCAGTTACGGAATTCTGAAACACCAATTTTGTAATACGAAGCCGTCTTGCTGCTCTACACAATATTAATCTTATGAATCCATATAAAGTTTAATGAATTTAAGATAAACAGGATTTAGAGGACGAAGAAAAGCAGAAGCTGACTAGTAAAATATTTGAAAATTTGCGCGTATTAGATTGTGATAATACTGTGTATTTGGTGGTTAGTATTCAAATTATATATTTGAGAACACACCAAGAATACACAAGTATCGTAATTAGGTTAACTATTTTAATATAGAAATGCACCTTATGAACACAAATTCTAGTTTGTCCATCAAATAGTTGTACCTTCATATAGTACAAAATTATATATTTACATGAAAGAAACGGAATGAATTTTCATCAATATTCTAAGGACAGTACAGTAAATCAGAAACTTATCATAAATATTATACTTTGAAACAGGACAATCGAAACAGAATATGATCCATTAATTTATGCGAAGACTTGAAGTGCCAAACCGCATAAGATGGATTCGGGTTTGTAAAAAGCATTTGAGTATCCAATCTATTGATCGCTGGACCACAGGTGAAATAGTAGTGAGCCAGTGATGATGCTAAAAAGCGATGTCATTCGTTTAGGATACTTGTTAGAATATAAACTGAGAATAAGTTTCTTAGCGCTTTATTAGACCTAGTATGTCTGTTGAGAATAGAACCAGTAAGCACTTCCAAACTTATTTACGCAAAAATTTTAAAAACTTGTAATTCAGCCTTATTAAGAAGAAATAGTTGCTTTTGAAACTTTCCTTTAGCATTTGAACATTTTGCTCAACTATTAATCATTGTCAACAAGTCAGTCAATCAGTAACAACGTGGAACTTCGTACGTACGTACATAAGTTCGAGTTGCCACATCACATTAGCACAGAGATTCAGTTATCGATTCAAATCCCGTAGTGGTAGAGGTACTGAAAGTATAAGTAGAAATAGGGGACATTAAGGTTTGATGATGTTATTTAAGGAGTATAGTCCAGTGGAATAGATTTGGAAAGAAAATAAAGGACATTCAGTTTCAGTTTGGAAAGGACAGGAGGCTTGATGGCCTGTGTTAGTCCTGGCAATTGTGTTCTCTCAGTTGATCCAACTTTCTTTTGAAAGAATCTACGGATGGAGCTTCAACCACGTGTTGAGGTAATGAATTCCACTCGTTGATGATTCGGTGGGAAAGTCGATAATCAGCTGACAAGTAATTCGTTCTGGGCTTGTTAACTTTTTTGGAGTGTCCTCGTAAATTCTCTGTTTTGGAAGACAGGAAGAATGAGGGCATATCAGGTGCAAATTTATCACTAAGCAATTTGAAAACTGTAATCAAGTCGCCTCTAGTTCTACGATATGACAAAGGGAATAGGTTTAGCTTGGCCAGTCGAGCATCATACGGAAGCTTCGCAATTACGGGAATCAGCTTAGTCGCTGTTCTCTGGACCTTTCCTAAAAGCTCACTGTCTTTTTTTAAGCAGGGGCTAGCCGCTTGTATGCAGTACTCAAGTTTAGGACGTACGAATACTGTATACAAAGTCAAAAACGTTTGAGCGTCGACATGAATAAAAGCCCTATGTATTGACCATACAGTTCTAAAAGCTTTGGCGGCTATTGCACGAAAGTGTGCAGTAGTCTTCAGATCTCGGCTAACGATGACTCCTAAGTCATTATGTGTCTGGACAGCAGGTAGCTCAGTGTTATTCATCGTGTATGTTACTGAACCTTGATGACCGATATGCATCACAACACACTTGGAAGTATTTATCGGCAGCTGCCATGTATCAGACCATTCGGATAATTTCTTCAGGTCATTTTGGAGTTCTAAGCTATCACCATTACATCGTATCGTTCTCCATATCTTGACATCGTCAGCATATAGCAAGACCGATGATGATAGTAAGCGAGGAAGGTCATTTACATACAAGAGGAATAGCACTGGCCCCAAAACTGTACCCTGGGGCACTCCACTAAGCACAGTTTCCCAGCTAGATAATTTTGAGTTTACCCGTACTCTTTGTTGGCGCCCAACAAGGAAGTCTTCTATCCACGTCAATAGATTGCCTCCGATCCCGACATTTTTTAGCTTATATAACAGCCGGTTGTGCGGAACTTTGTCAAAAGCTTTGCTGAAATCAATGTAGGCTACGTCTACAGGTAACTTTTGGTCCTTATGAGAGCACCAGCTTTCACGAGCGACTAATAAGTCAGTGAGACAAGAATAACCTATTCTGAAACCTGCTGTTTCTCCGAAAGGATTCGGTTTACATCGAGGTATTTAAACAGCTCTTTCCGAATAATCTTTTCTAAGATTTTAACAACCACACTAGTTAGGCTAACGGGTCGGTAATTCTCAGGTTTATGTTTCGTACCTGTTTTGAAGACAGGACTTACTATGGCGTTCTTCCAGTCTTTTGGTAAACGACCCTGCGTTACGGATAGCTTAAAGCATATACTTAAAGGATTCGCAACGAAGTTAGGTGATTCCTTTAGTAGCCTAGGATGCAATTCATCGGGCCCCATGGATTTACCTATGTCAAGCTTATTTAGCAGACCAAAGACATCGACTTCTTTAATGGTCACGCTATCCAGTGTGCGTGTGGGGGGGTCAGTATGCGCTGACGGGAAGGGTGCTTCTATGGTATATACATTGCTAAAGTAGTTTGAGAACACTTGAGCCTTACCAAAGTCATCTTCCACTAATGATGCGGCAGCACTGTCCCCCCATAGTGCAGGAATAATTCCTCTTCTTTTTGTCCTCTGGTTTATATAGGAATACAGGCATTTAGGACATTCTATGGATTCCTTAACAATTTTTTCTTCGTACAGCTTTCCAGGCTTACGGAGGGTCGAGGCACAGGTATTCCCAGCTATTCGGTACTGAGATTTTGTCTCATCAGTCCCCAGTAACCTAAATCTATCCCACATTTTTCTTCTCTTACGGAGAAGGATGCGGACCTCCCTACTGAACCATGGTGAGGAGTTTCTCGGCTCCCTTGGTATAGTCCAAGGAATGTGGGGCGCGGTAAATTTTAAGTATAAATTTCAGAATGTGTCTCAAGCCGTTTCAATTGAGGACTCTGGGTCTATTGTTCAATCTAATTCAATTGATTTGCCATCCTTACCTAGTACCCGTTTCCTAACAACTGAGTTGCTTACTCGGTGGTCCCAGGATATACGAACAATGTTTCGAAGACACCTATGATCAAATACTAGTAACCTACGAATATCCTCTACCATTACCGGCCATGTTTCACTGCCATAAAGTAGGACGGAACGAACTGCTGCGCAGTAAACACGTCCTTTGGTTGATAGACGGATATCTCGCCTACGCTACAAATGACGCAAGTTGGCAAAAGCTAGTCGAGCCTTCTGTATCCGTGCTGAGATTTCGTCACACACCAGACCACAAGGGCTGATGAGACTTCCAAGATAAGTGAAGCGGTCGACACGCTCAACTACTTCACTCCCTATCACTAGTTCGGGTGTCGACGCAACCCAATCCTGAAGCAACATTTTGCATTTCGAGGGAGAAAATCGCATGCCGAACATGCTTGCATTGTTGCTTAGAGTGGTCAGCAGACTCTGCATTTTGTCAGCGTCTTCACTAAATAGAACTATGTCATCGGCATATTCTAAGTCAATAAGTGAATCTCCCGGTAAAAGTTCAAGCCCTGGAAATTCAGATGTGGAAAGAGTTACCTCTAAAAGCACGTCAACGACAAAGTTAAACAAGAATGGAGAGAGTGGACAGCCCTGACCAACAACACTTGAGGTAATCAGTTCTGATGACAGGACGCTATAAGCTCTCACTCGACCAGTTGTGTTCGAGTAGAGAGCCTTTATAAGGTTAATTTACTTCTTTGGTACTCCTTTCAGTGACAAACACTGCCATAGAACCTCACGATCAACAGAGTCAAATGCCGCCTTAAGGCCGATAAACACTACCATTGTGGGGCGTCTGAATGTGTGCCTATGTTCTAGGACCTGACGTAGTGTGAATATCTGGTCTATACAACCACGTCCAGGTCGAAAACCAGCCTGGTTTTCTCTAGTCTGCTCTTCACGAGCTTTAGTTAGGCGTCGAAGTATTATTGAAGCTAATATTTTAGACACTATATTAGTCAAACTAATTCCTCTGTGATTGTCACAAGAATACTTTTGTCCTTTCTTATAGACTGGCACAATCAGTGATTGAGACCAGTCAGATGGGATTACGTCCAGTTCCCAGATTCTACCTAAGACCTCAGTCAATCTCGCTGCTAATACTGGACCGCCATCCTTAAAAATCTCAGGGGTAAACCTGTCAGGGCCTGCTGCTCTCCCACGTTTCAGATTTCCTATAGCTTTTTCAACTTCGTAAAGAGTCGGAGGACTTACATCAACTTGCCATTCAGGTAGATTGGAGATCGTGGGAAACCGAAGTGTGGCTGAAGGCCAGTTGAACTGATCCCTTAAGTGTTCTGCCCATCGATCCAATCTCCTGGATTGAGAATGAATAATATGTCCATCTTTCTCTGAAATTGTTTCGCTAACAGTTGGGTTCCTAATACCGGTTTCCTTAACAAGTCTGAACAGTTGTCCAACGTTGGGACGAATTAGGGGGTCGCCATGTTTAAAGATGTTTATCCTTATGCTTAAAGTTAGTGTTTGAAAGAAACAGGTGGTTATCTGAGCATAGCTGCAACAGACGGTCGCCATTATCTGTTCTTTGAGCCGCGACACCATAAGATCCACCCAGGTGTCTTCCCCTTTCGCTTAGTTTACCTACTTGAGCATTAAAGTCACCAGCCACTAATACTACATTAGAGTGCTTAACTTTTCGGAGAATATCCGAAAGCTTTCTGTAAAACTCATATTTTACATCACCTGAGCAAAGACTAGTATCCCTATCTTTCTGAGTCTTTACTGTTCCGTTTAGTCGGACAGCGCACAAACGACTGTCTACTGAGATCCAGTCTAAGAGAGCTAGTTCTGCCCTAGGACTCAATGCTATACCTACGCAAGCGAGGCCATGGGAAGCAGCATCAGGGCTTCCAGATTATTTATTTATTTATTTGAACACATAAATATTGGTACAAGGGGGCACCAAATATATATGCTCCACACAAAACAATGAGCAATTTAAAGAGAAGGGAAGAAAAAAACAATAACGAACTGATTAGTGTAAGGTAGTGTAATAGTAATAATGGGGGAAACGAAAAGGTAAAATCAGGAGAAATCTGTCAGTTAAGGAAGGAGCAACCGCTTTTTATGAGGAAAGTAAAAGAAGGTTACAGCAGGATCGCCACTGGCTTCTATTCTAAGCCATATCTGATAATGTCTCTAGCTACTGTGTTACACCATCACTCAGACCCCAGCCAGGGAGTCGTGGAGGACTAACACAAGCCAGCCCTTTGCAGCTTTCTTTCATACCACGACACCATGTCATATACTGACCACCTCTACGCTTTTTCCAACCTGTCCCAGAGTCGGCAAATAATTCTCTGGGATGACATTCGTAGAACATGTCCAAGCCACCGAAGTCGGTGTTTCAAGATGGTGATACAAATTGCATTATCGTCTCCGAACCTCTGCAT